CTGCCCTGCCCTACCCAGCCCAGCCCATCCCTGCCCATCCTTGTCCAGCCCTGCCCAGCTCCAATCCGATTAGAGTTCTGCCCAGCCCAAACTCCAGCCTCAACCCTAGCCCTACTTAGAGCCAGTCCAACTCCAGTCTAATACAAGCCTCACTTCAACCCAGTATCCTCCCCAGGTCACAGAGCCCCCAACCCAGAATTTTCTCTGACATGCTCCCTCTGATCATTACTCTGACAGGTTCTGCACTCTGACTCCCAACTTCCTACCCTTCACCTCTTACATTCCAACAGTCCCTGCCTTTCAGTTGGACATCCCTCCCATCAGACATCCCAAATCCTGGAATTTGGAAACTTATTCCACCTTTGAGGTCTCTAATACCCTCAGTCTCCCAAATGCTGGACCCAATCATTCCTGAACATGCCCATCTGGTGAAACCCCACTCAGGCCTAACCATCTACACACATATCTTGGACTTACACCCCTCATTCTGGCCTCCAAGCCCAGACAGCTTCCAGAGCCTTCTTTGACTCTTAGACTGCCAACCTGAAATGCCACAAATCCAAACTTGACCCTTGTTCAGAACCCAGGCCTTTTTAACTCACAAAATCCAATTCCCCTCCCAGGAAGCTCTCAGCTCCAAATTCCACCCTCATGTTTAACAGCAAATCTCTCCTACCCCCTGCCAGAATCACAACATAGTCTGCCTCTTCTGATTTGAGTCCAGAACCCTGACCTCAGCTTGGAACTCCTGCCACCTTGTGCCCCCCCATCTCAGGTTTTCTCTCAACTGAACCCACACTACTTTCATTCTCTAATCTCCCCAGTCCTGTGCCTCATCTTTGCCCTTCCCCAATCCTCCTATAGCTTCCTTCTTTCCCTCCCTTATGGGCTAGTCCTGGACCAGAGCCTGCGGACCAAAACCTCAGTGTGGGTCAGTCTGAAGAAGCAGAAAGGAGTCTTTTCCCTGCCCTTGCTAGAGAAAAAGAGACACCATGGTCTTGTCCAGCCACACCCCTTTCTTTCTGTAGAGAGAGGGAGGAGGCTGTTTACATGCAGAAAAGTCTGTCCAGGCTAGCTGGAGTAAGAGAGCCACAGCCATATGTCATACATGGATGGAGGAAGGAAATGATTTGAAGAGAAACACCTTTATCTCTCTTCACCTTCACCTTATTTCGGTTTCAGGATCTGATGATGAGGAGGGCAGGTTTACCTACTATCCTCCATGATCTTTTTAGGATAGAAATGGTGGGCCCTGGGTAATAGCTAAAGGTACTTTCCTAAGGGCTGAGAGCTGTAATCAGGCTGCCACCTCTTTTCCATTGGGAGGGCTTGGGGTGTTCCTAGGCACACTAATATAGGGGTTTCAGGAAAATAAATGCCCATAGAAGGACCAGCTAGGTAGCAGTGCATTTTCTACCTTTGGGGCTGGGGTTATATTAAGTGGGGCATAAAAGGACAAGACTATACTATCCAGATTCCTTCTAATGCAGTCCAGCAATCTGGCTGTCCATCCATCCATAGCAATTTATTTTCTTATTTTCTAGACATTTATTTCAGTATGTAACTTCAAGCTAATCTTTTTAGGCCATCTTTACAAAAAGGGCAGTGTATAGAATACCTTTAATTCTCAATCTTCTTACTCTTTTCACCATCAGTCTCTGAACTGTTTCCTCATCCTCTCTCTCCCTTCCCCCTCCCCTCCCTTCTCTCCTCCCTCCCTCCCTTTCTCCATTTAGCTCTAATTCTTCCTGGGTTTTTTTTCATTCATCTGTCTTTACATGCTTCTCTATCTTTACACCCTTCAATTCTTCCATCTCCATCCCAGGTAGGACCACACAGGCTCCTTTAGGCCACAAGTGGGGCCCTGAGCCTTTCAGACAGGGTCCCAGTTCTGATGTCAGCTGATATGGCATGGTGGCAGAAGATGGAGTAGAGATGTAAGCAGAATCAGATGTTTGGTGATTTAGTTCCATACCAACCTGCAACTCTCCAAGGCAGGGTTGCTTTGCAGGATGATCAGGGAGGGTCTCCAAGTCAACATCTTCCCCCACCCTCTCCCCAGCAACAGTGACGTCCAAAAGCCAGTGACTCATTTTCCTTTTGATGGCTGGTACAGAGGAAGGCAGCCACAGTGCTTTGAAAACAACCTCAGCCTAGGAGTTAAGAGACTCCAAACTGTATCTTGCCACTGACACACTCTGGGCTTTAGTTTCCCTATTGATACAATAAAGGTTTGTCCCAGGAGTTCTCTAAGGGCCCTTTCATGCAACAAATGGCAGATATCCACCCACCTTAAGGTGGCACCCACATAGAAGACATGGGAGAGAATGTTACCATTTGCCTTTCTAGTTACTGAGGTCTAAGTGGAAAACTGCACCAAGTTCCTTCCCACATCCATTTTCTCTTCCTTCAGTCTTTCTCCTTCCTACACTCAGAGGTTCTTTTTAGAAACAGATCTTATGTCATAACCCTGCTTAAAACCCTTTAGTGGCTCTCCACTGCTCCTAGGAGAAAAGTCCAAAATCCAGACTGAGGTGTATAAGGCAATAGATGACCTGATCCCTGCATACCTAACTGACCACTCTGCCCTCATTACCAATCTGTAATCATACTAGCCTTCCATACATTTCCCCAACACACTGAATTCTTGACTGAGTCTTCATATGTGCTATTTTCTCTGTCTGAAATAATCACCACCCTTCTTGTCACCTGGTTAAATGCTATTTATTATTGAGAACTCAGTGTGTTCTTTGAGACATTTCTCAACTCTTTGGACTCAGTTACATGTCCCCCATGATCCTTTACATAATCTTCATGAGGGCAGAGAATGTATCTATCTTGTTGCCACTTTATCCCGAAGCCCATCATAATGCCTACCAAAATAAATAAGTATTCAATAGATATTTTCTGAGTGAGTGAGTACTCAATGCCTGTTAGAAAGGAAGAAATCCCTGCCTCCGTGCTTCCTAGCAGGCTACAGGTTCTGAGACTGAACAAAGAGGAGTAGGACTAACCCTTTGGTTCAATTCAGACTCCTTCTCTGCTCTATATCTACTGGCTCTTTTAAAGAAGTCAGATTTGAGGCACAATAACCCTTTAAGAGGCTCTGTCTTGAAGGCTTGGGAGAACTAACAGATCATGGTCCTTGGATAGGATGGGAGATCACTGGAAGTTTTTACCTACAGGAAGCCCCTAAACCAGCCTTATCTTCCAAGCCTCAGATTAACCCATTCCTCGGCTTTAGACTTGGAGGAAGGAAGTGTTAAGAAGTTATGGGGTCCTGAGCTTGGCTCCCAACCCCCCTCCTCCTCTTCTGTCTCCTCCCATTGAAACTCAGTTGGGAGACTTTGTGAGTATGAACCCAAAAAGAAAAGGGAAGGCTGGGATTAAAGCTGAGGGCAAAGTGGCTTAAAGAGGTTTAACCCCAACAGAATTTATGACTGGAGTGATGAGGAGAGATGTGTGACTGGGTGTGAGTAAACATGTTCCCTAGGTAGAAGGCCAAGAGCAAATGAGAGAGTCAGAGGCACATGAATCCCCTTCCTTCCGAGAAGGTAGGAGGCAGAGAAGAAGCAGTGTCCTTAGTTAAAGGAGAGTGGCCTTGAGTTTGTCAATTTAATAAGGTCTTTCCAGAAAGAGTATTTGGGGGTTTCAGGAAACCCCCTGAGCCAGCCTCTTCCTCCCCAGGCTGTGCCTTCCTCACCTACTGCGCCCGGGACTCTGCTCTCAAGGCCCAGAATGCACTGCACGAGCAGAAGACCCTGCCAGGGGTAAGTCCACCAG